CCAAATTTTTTTTATAGTATGACCTAAGTTTACCCACGTATCTCCTCTCGGCCAATCAAAAGTGATTTTCGGTCTGATTTCTCCCACCCTAAATTTAATTCTTTTAAAACTTGCCACAATTTAGTTCGTCCGATATGAGGCAAATCCGGGTCGTCTTTAACTTCTTGTGAAATTTTGTTTAGGTTTGGTATTTCTTTAAAAAAAAAATTCATCAATTTTCCTTCGAATACCATTTTTTGGCAAATTCATCAATTTCAATAGGCTTTTTTCCCTATCTTTAAGTGTTCGTTTGTGTTTGGCTTAGCTATACCGTGTTTTTTTCCTTTTGATGTTGGCACAACAACTTACCATGTTGGAACAACTTTCGACTACGGCGAACAGTGTGTGTGGGATTCTCAGAAACCAGAGCATCGTGAACATTCAGGACAATAGTCTTCTCTCTTGACGAATAGACAGACTTACTGACTGTACGCAATAGTACCGGTGTAAAACTTGATTATGTTGATGATGAAGCCATCACAAACAATCCAACAAAACGAGCACGAGCGAAAGGTACGTATATGTTCGTATGTATATGGAATAAAAAATCACTCACGCACTGCATATAATTCGCAAAAGAAATATTCGAGACGCTAATTACTGCCTTAGACGCGGAAACACCGACGAGCCGTAAATTACATGCGATCAAAAACGTACTAAACAAAAAAATGTGTTCTTTCGTAATAACTTCACCCTTTCAAGTTAAGTTTCGAATATAAACTGAACAGACGAGGCACGTGACCAAAGCCGGCATCTATACCCACTATATTATTAAAAATCTGGGGAATTCCATCCTAATTATCTTGCAACGATTAGTTCCTTCGGTTATGAATTCCAGGTTTTCTAGTAAAGTGATTAAACGCGAAGATTAGTATTGAAATATCTAAAGAGACGAGGTATTCTTATTTACAACATTGTTAATGGTTAAATTCTTATTTTTATTAATATAATATAATAACCAACATTAGCCGTGAAAGTTTTAATTATTGTTTGCTTAATATTATTAGTATAATAATTTATATTATTAGTATTAAAACATTATTAATATTAATTTTAATGAATAAACACCTCAGGAACGCCTATGATGATACAAATTTAACGACCGTTTTATGATTTTGAGGCTCATTTCGTGCTATCAACAATTTGTGGACGGATAATAAAAGATGTTAAAAATTTACTTGAAAAACACTTTAGAAAGAAGTGGAGAGAGTTGGAAGAATTATCGTTTTATAACGAAGTTATAGCTGTTGAAGAAACATTAAATACCCCAAGAGATGAAGATCATAAATAACTTGAAGTCTGCGAATTTGTTGCAGAATTACCAAGCGTTTTGATTTAGTTTCTTTTATTACTCTTGTATGTTATTCATTAATAAATGACACATAAATTACTTTACTCAAACCTAGTTAGAATTAAACATGGTTATCTCTATAAGTGAGTACCAAAAATGTCAAATTCCAAACATTAAATCTATTTTTTTCAATAATTGTGAAAAATCTAATACATTTTTATAACCCAACATATTTTTAACAATGCCTAAACAGATCAAACTAGACTTTACTGACTTATATCAACTAAGGAACTTGAAACAGTTTTCTTTATTATCCAACATTTTAAAAAATGGAGATTGCCGGTTTTGATTCTAGATGATTCAACTATTGTGATACGACTTCTTTTAAATTTTAATAATGTAGTTTTTATCCTGTATGCTATAGTTTTCTGTTCTAGATGTTCTACCCCGCACCGGCTGCTTTCGTTTTGATCACTCCACTGATTATTGTGTAGTCGTCCAAATGTTTCGTATTGTACCTACAAATGAAAGTGTAATCCGAAAAATTAAGCAATCTAACAGTTCATTTTTGTTTTAAAGTGGTTAAAAATTTATTCCGCACTCACGGTTGAGATAAAAATTTATTGGTAATCACCATGTAATAAAACAAATTATGGTAGAAACAACATGTGCACTTCAAATAATAATTATATTGACTTAACATGCATAAAAATGTTTTCACGTACATGGTAACTGAGTGTCCTACAAAATCGAATCTAATATTTTATTATATTATCTAGATACGTATATAATTGCTATATTAGTGTTATAGAGTTAGTCGCCATACACCTTCGAAACGGCTTGACCGATTTTTTATGGAATTTTATTTGCATATTCGGTATCTCTGAGAATCAGTCGTAATGTATTTTTCATACCCCTAAGTCATAAGGGTTGTCCACCCCAAACATTTTTTTTTATTTTTTGTACAAAATTTGTTATAATTGATGGATTCGACCGTTACTTGATGGAAATTCATTTTATGTAACAATAAAACACTGAAAACTTTGTTTTCAAACTTCCACAAAATTTATTTTAAATCTTATCACTACAGCTGTTTCGGCTGATTGCCTTTCTCAAGTGATCTATTTTTGGCTTGGGTTTACAAATTTATAGTCTCTAATAAAATAGGTTGAGGAGGGGAGAACTGTTTGTCTCAAGTTGGTCATTCAGAATTATATCTGTGTTTTTTAATTTGTTGATTTCCATAGATTCTAACAAAGATAGCTTAAGGCCTTTATTTTGAATGTGAAGAATTTTTAATTTGTCATTAAAAGAATGATTATGATCTAGAAGGTGAAGTGCGTATGTCGAATCTGTTTTTCTATTCTTGAAAGCCCTTTTATGTTCTGCTATTCGTTTATCAAAGTTTTTACCAGTTTGACCGATGTAAGTTTTTGGGCAGTCGCCACATTGAAGTTTGTATACACCACTATTTAAGTGTTTTTTTATTTTGACTCTTGTTATTTTTAATATATTTGCCTAGGTTGTTATTTGTTCGGAAAGCTGGTGTTATTCCTTTCTTTTTTATTTGTTTGGCAATTTTTGTTGTTATTTTGCCTGTATATGTAATCGAGCAGAAGGTACTGGGTTTTTTCTCTGGTGGTGGAAATACTAATTTCAGGGCTTTCTTGTGTAGTTTTTGATTTAACATTTTATTAATTGTTTGTTCGTTGTATCCGTTGTTTACTGCTATTTGCTTAATTATATTTAATTCTGTCTCAAAGTTGTATTTTGACATCGGAATTTCTGTTAATCTATATAACATACTATGATAAGCTGCCAGTTTATGTTGTGTTGGATGGGATGATGAATTGTGTATAGTCGTGTCAGTATGGGTAGGTTTATGAAATATGGAAAGTCATGTTTGTTTTGAAGTCTGCTAATTTTTAAATCTAAAAAATTTATGGATTGATTTTGTTCTGTTTCTATTGTAAATTCAATATGACTATGAAATAAATTAATATACGATAAAAATTGGTCGAGTTGGCTGTTAGTTCCTGTGAAACATACCAAAACGTCGTCTGCGTATCTCCACCATCAAGAGACAAAGATTTCAAAACATCCCGTATTCAAACAGTTTTTATATTGGTGGAGATACGTAGACGACGTACTGGTATGTTTCACAGGAACTAACAGGCAACTCGACCAATTTTTATCGTATATTAATTCACTTCATAGTCATATTGAATTTACAATAGAAACAGAACAAAATCAATCCATAAATTTTTTAGATTTAAAAATTAGCAGACTTCAAAACAAACATGACTTCTCCATATTTCATAAACCTACCCATACTGACACGACTATACACAATTCATCATCCCATCCAACACAACATAAACTGGCAACTTATCATAGTATGTTGCATAGATTAACAGAAATTCCGATGTCAAAATACAACTTTGAGACAGAATTAAATATAATTAAGCAAATAGCAGTAAACAACGGATACAACGAACAAACAATTAATAAAATGTTAAATCAAAAACTACACAAGAAGGCCCTGAAATTAGTATTTCCACCACCAGAGAAAAAAACCCAGTACCTTCTGCTCGATTACATATACAGGCAAAATAAGAACAAACATTGCCAAACACATAAAAAAGAAAGGAATAACACCAGCTTTCCGAACAAATAACAACCTAGGCAAATATATTAAAAATAACAAGAGCCAAAATAAAAAACACTTAACAAACTTCAATGTGGCGACTGCCCAAAAACTTACATCGGTCAAACTGGTAGAAACTTTGATAAACGAATAGCAGAACATAAAAGGGCTTTCAAGAATAGAAAAACAGATTCGACATACGCACTTCACCTTCTAGATCATAATCATTCTTTTAATGACAAATTAAAAATTCTTCACATTCAAAATAAAGGCCTTAAGCTATCTTTGTTAGAATCTATGGAAATCAACAAATTAAAAAACACAGATATAATTCTGAATGACCAACTTCTATGCTACTTCTATGCAACCAAATAACTCCTATGTTTTAATAGCCATATTAGTAGTTAAATCATTTTAACCCTGGTCGATAACTGATCAATTATCACTAGATCAGTGTTATCCCCGCCAGTCTCACTTCTTACCCAGTAAACAGCATGAAGTAGGGATGAGAACGAACCCGGTCTCCTGTCTCTCTCACACAATAAACCTTCCCTCACTCCGAAAACTCTACACAGTTTTGGCCATTATTATTGTTTATGCATCGAGTGTAGCAGTGGTATTTACAATTATCATTTTACCTTCTCAGTGTAATTCTCAAGTAACTTTATTATTAATTTGCTGGGTCAAGGTTATTTATGGACTGATTTTTGCTGTTTTTCCGGACATAGCTTACCAGTTTAAAATCTATAATTGGACGAGGAATATTGGTGGCAAAAAATACAGGTTGCTCCATCTTCTTCTGACTTAACTTTTGCCGTTTACGAAAACGATAAAAATGATCGTGTCAGTGTTTGTTGTATTTAAATTGGGTTGCGATGCTATTGTAAGTTTTGACTATCGTTGACCATATATTATTACCAAAATTCTGTTTTTCTTTTCCTTTAAAATATTAACTCTCATTTTTGTACTACTTTTTTCAGTGTCTTACATTTACACCACATGACCCTATGATTTTTGTTTCAGTATAATGGATCATTCGCAACATTCACTGCATGAAGGTCACAACATGGATCATTCTATGGATCACATGCATAACCCCGATGGGACTGGAATGGATATGAATATGTATGTAAGTATTATTGTTCAGTGTAAAAAATACTTATCAGGTAGGCAATCTTAGTGCGTATAAGGAATTTATTTACTGTATACGTACCTACTTGATGTCCGTATCGATCGGAGGCTGTGTCATGTAAATATTAAGTTCAGTCATTCATAGGAAGAAAAGCTCTTTTAGCTACTCCTAAAATCAGGTGGCTTAAAATATAAAGTAAAACAGAGGATTTCCCATTATCCAGGGCATCCAAAGTAACTTTCAGTACAAGACCTCACCATTCGTCATGTCCTGCGATGCGATGGGGAGGAGTGGTTGGTTATAGCTTGCGGAAGCAGATAGGTACCATTCCATTATGAAGTGTCACCGGTTTAATCTTTGGGCGTGTGGGTCCCACTGTTTCATTGGAACACACATTTCATTCGGAGTTGGGTTCTACAAAGATTGTTGCGTGTATGCGTCATTGTCACCACACACTGAGTTAATAAAAATATATAAAAAATTAATTATAAATAAATTTATAATTCATTTTTTATTTAGAGCTTATTTAGACATAATATTTCAAAAATACCAAGTTTGTGGTGGTGGTCATTTTGAATAATTTATTGATAGTGTTAGTGTTTTCAATAGTTGTTTTTTTTTGCAAATTTTCGCTGTTTTTTATTTTTAAGATACTTCGTGGGTTAAAGTTATTCGGACTCTTTATTATTTATTCATTAATTAGGGATAATTATGTATTATGAACTATTTGTCTCACATAATAAAATCAAACCATTGAAATGTTTAACCAATTTAGATTAAAGAATTCTACTAATTAAAATTAAGTCGCAACATTTTACCAGAAAAACATTTTGATAAAATTAAAAGTATAGATTTTCAGCTCATTTTTGAATGCAGAATCCATTTTTAAAAAATCTAATGTACAAGGTATTGTTTTTGGATCGGACTTTCTTTCCAATATTTTTTAACCCAGACCTGGATTTCATACAATTATAAATAAATTAATCGATTGGATACATTAAAGAATATTCGCGTGCCAAATATAAAGAAAATATATAGTGTGGTTAAAAAGTTAGGAACCATATAAGAAATTGGAGAAAAAATAAAACACTCAAATTCAAATTCAATAAGCTATGCAGGGGACGTTAACATTAGCAGATGTAGGCCTCTAACAGGATCGCATTTAGAATTATCTTTTCGTTAGGCCAGAAGTACTATCTTGTAAAATACGAAAGTTGTATTTTAATTTTGCAAAAATGTGAGACAAAGAACTTGACAGGGTGTTTTATTTATAATCTTTGTTACAGTTGTTTGCACGCTTCCAAAAAGTTTAAATATTGCAAAACGGTTAGTCTTTTGGAATAAAAATACAAAGTGATTCATAATTCATTTGAGTTCGGCGTCTATATATAGTATAGATCCAGATCTCGGCTACTTTTAAACATTATTTTGATGAACTGGATAATATGTCACTATTCTTCTTCGTCTGGTAGCACTACAATCCGGGGTGGGTCTTGGCTGACTGCACAACCTGCTTCCATCTCGAACAGTCGTCCATGATGTTTAAGTCAGTGGGTAGAGAACCCATTGTTCTCAAATCTGACCATATATTATCTCTCCATCGCATTCGTGGACGTCCTAAGGGTCTTCTCCCTGTCGGGACTTCTTCCCAGATTAACTTGGTAAGGCGGTTATTAGGGAGCCTATGAACATGGCCAGCCTATCTTAGACGTTAGGATTTAATCTCTTGGACTACGTCGCTAGCACTATACATTTGTTTGACCTCGACATTTGTTCTCATTCGGTATTGGTATATTTACGGAAGCATTAGAAGATACGGAATTAGGCATTAAGGTGAACGGCATACCAATCAGCAACCTACGCTATGCGGACGACACAGTGATTATAACTGATAATTTGGAAGATCAGCAGTTATTACTTGATAGGGTGAATAGCATAGGTAAAAAATATGGCCTCAAAATCAACATTTTGAAAACGAAATATATGGTCATTAGCAGAAACCCTCCAGAAAACCCGATATTATGCATAGGTGACAATCGTATAAATCGCGTGAAAACTTTTAAATACCTTGGCACCACAATCAATGACCAATCGGATCCACAACACGAGATAAAAACCCGAATACAAATGGCAAGGCAAGCTTTTGTGAAATTCAGACCGCTCCTATGTAATCAACACCTAAACTTCGAAATACGCTACAGAATGGTCAAGTGCTACATATGGTCCATCTTGCTTTATGGCATGGAAACGTGGACTTTGAAAAAAACATCTATCAACAAACTTGAAGCATTTGAAATGTGGTCATTGAGAAGAATGATGCGCATACCTTGGGTGGATAGAGTTCGAAACGATGACGTCCTTAATAGAGCCGGCGTGGAAAGAGAACTCTTTGAATTAATTAAAAAACGCAAGATTGGTTACCTTGGGCACATATTGAGAGGAGCAAAATATGAAATACCACAGTTAATCCTACAAGGGAAGATAGAAGGTAGGAGAGGAGCCGGCCGCAAACAATTGTCCTGGTTAAGGAATATTAAAGAATGGACAGGAATACACAATACAGGTGAGCTGTGTCACGCCGCCAAGAACAGAATTCTAGTAATGAGATAGTCGCCTACGCACTTTGGTCTATGGCATGTTAAGAAGAAGAAGGTATTGGTTAGTATTCGGATCGTGATAGGGACCTCTGAGGATTTTTCTCTCAAAGCATCTGAGTTTACTTTCCATTGTTGTGGAGCCTATACATACATCTGTTTGCTGCCTGAATTCTCCCTTTTATCTCTTCCGTGATATCGTTATCTGTGGTGATGGTCGCTCCGAGATATTTAAAACTCTCCACTCTTTCAAAGTTATAGGAGTCTATTGTTACATTTTGTCCTATTCTATCTCGTCTCTTCTGTCTGTTAATGCACATATATTTGGTTTTCTCTTCATTGACCCTTAGACCGGTATTTTTTGCCTCTCTCTCTAATTTATTGAAGGTTTCTTTTACATTGGTGACGGTATTTCCTACAATGTTAATGTCATCCGCGTATGCTAGTAGTAATTTTGGTCCATTTACTGTCAGTAGTTCTGTTCTAATTTGTGCGGTTCTTACTACTTTTTCCAGGATTATATTAAAAAGAAGAGGTGACAGCGCGTCTCCTTGTTTCAGTCTACTATTTATTTCAAACGACTCTGAGAGCTTGTTACCTATCCGCACTCTAGATCTACAGCCATTTACACAAACTTTAACGAGCTGGATAAGTTTTTTTGGAACTGAAAGTTTTGCCATTGCATTCCACATCTGATCCCTTTTAATGTTGTCGTATGCTTGTCGGAAATCTATGAAGAGATTATGAATGGTTCTATTGAATTCCCATCCTTTTTCAAGCAGCTGCCTGAGAGTAAAAATCTGATCTATGGTCGATCTATTTTTCTGAATCCGGCTTGGTATTCCCCTATGAAATTTTCTACAAAAGGTGTTAGTCTACTTAATAGGATGTTCGATAAGATTTTGTACGCCGTATTAAGTAGGGAGATGCCTCTATAGTTAGAGCACTTGGTTTTGTCTCCCTTTTTATGGATAGGAATTATTACACTTTCGTGCCATTTTGTTGGTATTTTCTCTTCGTTCCATATAAGTGTTATTAGTTTGTGTAATTGTCTATGTAAAGTTTCTCCTCCGTACTTAAGAAATTCGGCTGGTATATTGTCAGAGCCTGGAGCTTTTGCGTTCTTCAATTTGTTAATTGCTTGCAATGTTTCGTCTATTTTTGGGTACTCTACCGGTAGATCCACCCCAAGGTATATATCCTCTCCATGTTCTTCATCTTGGTGTATATTAATATTAAGTAAATTTTTGAATATGTCACTATCATAACGTTTATAATAAGTGGTTCAAAATATATTTCAATTATATTTTCCTTTTCTAATTTCTCTTGAAGGTGTAAAATGCAGTTCTTTCACATTTCTGGTGTAATTGATGAAATTGAATTATAAAATAGATTCATGGCATCTCAAAATTTGAAGGTGGTGTTTTTTTCTGCACTATCATCTTTAATTTTGTCCAGATGAATTCTATGGGGTTTAGCTCACAGTGATACGAAGGAACTCTCAATACTCTCAGTTTATTCTGGGTTTTTGCCATTTTTTGCCAAAGGTTATTAGCAACATTCCTGTAACATATGTAATTATTTTAAATTTAACATTTGTAACAATGTAATTAAGTTAAATTTCGATTTGAAAGTGAGATATTTTCTTGATGATTATCTAGGAACAAGTCACCTCTTTTCCAGTCGTTTTTGACCCACATTTATTGGAAGTTCATCATCGCTCGTCGAGAACATATCTTCAGCGTCTTGTGTCTCACATTGTGAAATAAGAGTTGCCTCAGCTGGGGCGTTCAGTATCTTTGATGAAAACTTATCAGAAAAATCATTGAAATTCACATCATCCGATTATTCAGAATCTCCATCAGAATCTTCCGCTGGAGGATAAATGTATATGTTTGCAGAATCAAACTCCTTCTGCTTCTTATTTAGATCATCGATTAGATTCTTCAGAGTATCAGCTGAACAACTCGTTTTCTTTCCATAAAATGTTTTCACATCCATAATACCAAACTAAAAAGAAAAACCTCAATTAGCAACATATACCGCCAAGTTCCATTTTTGAAACATGCACAAACTAGAGGTTACTCGGTATATTCAATTCGAGGATAAGAATTTAAACGATACAGATACATTGTCAAGGCATATAATATTGCTTAAACATACCCCGATCGTAATATTTCACAACAGAAAATAGATATAATCGAACTAGAAGTTATACAACTGCACCTTCCTTGAAATTTTGATATGAATCACAAAACCAATGCCACTTATACGAAACCAGTGAGTAAATTCAGTATGGACGTGTTGTTTTGACACTACCGAACAGAAATAGTTTATCAGATTTAAGACCAACAGTGACATCTTGTAACCAGCAGCGAAACTAACAATCGTTCCAAATTTGGA